TAGTAATACTTACTTGGAGACATGTTGTCGAAGTTAAAGTTTCCTGTTAAGACATCAAGTACGATCAGTTCGTTCTCCGTTACAGCGGTGCTTCGAAATGATTCTAGCCACGATACGATTTCCGTCATTTGTATTGACCTGGTTTCGTGATCTGGAAAAAAAATGTGATTATCTATTTATACATTATGTTTTTTAGGTTGTTATAATTATATATAAGGTAAATTTAATATAAGAAATGGACCAAAGCATTTGGATAATTGAAACTGTTTCCAACAAGAATATAAGGTTATATTTTATATTTAAATATTGTAGTTCCGAATTTTACCTTGTGTGGATTGAAGCTGGGTAGTAGAAATATATCCTACAAGTTTCTGTCCATCTTTTGTAGTACCGACATGTACCTAAAAGTATTAACCATACGTCGTTAGATCATAGAGCTAATAAATTTAGCTTTGCTTTTAAGATTTTAAGTGCCTCTAAATAGTTTAAAGTTATTGCTATCGATAAGAATATTATCATCAAATAATTAACATTACATGAATTATTTTTGTACATTTAATTCAAGTACAGTAGAAGAATAATATTCTTTGAGGTAATTTGCAGGATTTCACTTTAGAGACTTTAGTAATCAAACACGCATCAACATGTCAATTTCGTTGTTCCTCCTTATTTAATTACGTCATTAGATTAAATAATCACCATCACCAATTAGAATAATTAATGCTAATTGCAAGCAATTTATGTACAGTGGCTACTCTGGAGTAATCAATGTTCCACACCAATCCGTAAGATACCAGCAAAACGTATATAATAATAATACACATGCGGTAAAAAAAAACATCATACCACGCATACATCATATAATTATTATATGCATGCACTGGTATTTAATGCATCGAACTAATAAAAAAAAAATTCAATATTAAATTGCTTACTTTGTTGAAGCACAATATCAGCATTTATTTAAAAATTAGAACAGCAAAAAAAAAATATTTTCCTCTCTAAAGGTGACAGACGCTATAGTATCGTTTTCATTGTTTGATTTGCTGATAGTCAATTTAAAGATTTTTGTACAGCAAAAAAATCTCTAAATCAATTAATTTTTTTTTTTTTTTTTTTTTTTTTTTTTTTTTACTTGGCTTTCCATTTAATAATTAACATTATTCTTAAACGAGAATTTCACTATTTTCAGTGGCGTAGCCAAATGGGGAGGGGAAGACCCCCCTCACCCCGCTGGCACCTAATTCAAAACGTGACAATATTAAGAAACATGACCCCCCCCTCACCCCGCCGGGGCCTACCATTAAATATGTTATAATTAACATTATTCTTAAACGAGAATTTCACTATTTTCAGTGGCGTAGCCAAATGGGGAGGGGAAGACCCCCCTCACCCCGCTGGCACCTAATTCAAAACGTGACAATATTAAGAAACATGACAGAATTGTCTTTAATGACCTTAGCCATAAGAAGCCCTTTGCAGATCGCTTTATCTTCCTTTTCTTTTGCAGTAAAGTGTTTGAATTCAGCATCAATTATTGGATACCGGCTGGCAATAACAAGACCACTGGACAACATGAACTTGTTCGCTGACCAACTACACACACCTGCGTCAGTCAAGATGTGACTAAACCACACCTGTAAACCTCTTACCAAATGTTTTGAAGCACGTGTATCAAAGACCTCCTGAAGGCAAAGGAAGTCCATCTCTGGCGGAAAATTCATACTTAGCGAATGTTCGAAGTCTGTGATTATCTCGTGGCTGAAGTCGCGCAAATGACTCGCGTCAAACGAGAAGAGCACAGGGCTAGTGCTTGGAATTGTAGAAACAGGCTCACTGACAGTGACGCCACAATCTCGCAGATAGACGCTTGGGTTAGAATCGAAGAAGACGCTTGCAGACGTACTTGATGGTAGTGGTTTGGGAGGTCTATTGTACTCAATAATGACTGACTGATGGTTGATACTACTCCTACGGTTATTTGATTCACGGTATACACCACTCGTAGAGTTGTTTCGCATGTCTACTGAACTGAATGACAATCCCTCGTTTATACGTGAAAGCAGACTGTAACCCTGACCCGGCTCTGTGGACCCATCATTGCCATAGCGACTTTTTACCAACGTTGCCGAATCGCTGAGTATACGATCTCGTTGAATCCGACTACACGACGGGTATGAGACTTGAGCAACGAACACGTCGTCAAATATGTCGTCTCCACTTGAAGTCCTTTGCGATTGGTTCCGTGGCAAAGAGGAGGAATTTAACTGGTCATTCATACTACAAACTGATAAGATTTTCAAATCAGTGGCCGTAGGTGATTGAACAACTATTCTCGGATTTGGTCGCACCTGCGAATTGACAATGTACGCAGAAATTACCTTTGCGCGCTTCTCAACATTCCGTAAATTATTAATTCTGGATAATGCTTCTGGAAGAAGACACGTATTGAATGAACTAACATGAAAAAACGGTATTTTATTTCCTTCCTCAATGCCGAAGTATCCGTATGGATTTTTTTCGTGTTGATTTTGCTTATAATGATACGCATACCGACAGCGATATTTCTGGAGGCCTATTTTAAGTAGAAAGGCTACCAAAGCAAATGGAAGCCAAAGAAAAATGAATGCTAGACACAACAAGATTTTTATGCACTTGATAAGAACTCTTCCACAACAAGCTTCTTCCATCTGCTCCTTTATCTCATCAGAGGTACTGATGAAATTTGAGAGTACGTGGTTTAACGACCATGACCACACCAGGCAGGATTGGCAACATACCCAGTAGCAGATAGCAAGGATCTTGCTGGAGAATTCTGATGGTTGCAGCATAGTTTAGTTTAATTTTTTCCAGTTGAAATCAACAAAGAGAACTCAACTCTGAGGTAAAAACTCGCAGAATCTGCAAATGGCACTTATAATCTTTAGAATTTCGCATATATCATTGACAAAACGACAGGCTTAAATTGAAAAATCGTATCCGCAGGAAGAACGCTGGCAGCACCATTGTCTACAAGTCATGATAGGAATTTCTTTATCTTGAAAGGAACAACTCAGTAAACCATTATTCTAGAAAGAAACAAAAAAAAAAGTCTGATATCATACAAACTATACGTTTGATATGGAGTCAGTTACTAACATATCTCATAAAATAAAATTTATCCGAAAATATTTACGAATAAAAATAGCTATGCCTATTGCATTATGTAAACTAACATCTGGAAATCTGGAAATCACCATATTTCCAAAAAATTAAGGCCTATTATTATTCACACACAATTCATTATGATAATTTTTTCAATCAGCAACATTTTTCTAACATTCCTTCACTCTTATTGGAGGAAAAAAAATGAAAATCGATTTACCAGAAGCATTGTTTGGTTACTTAAATAAAATATTATGTGTTTACCGTTAAACGTTGTAGGCCTACATCTGATTAATCTATTTGCTTAGATGAATTGCAGATTGTAGATTGGTTCATTACAGCTCTCCTGCTCACCGTCTGTCAAAACTAGATGAAATTACAAGTTGAAATTACACGTATCTTCACACTTGACATCGGACGAAGGCCGTGCTTGCATCCAATTTGACACCTGACTGAATAGCGTACTATCGATCATCAATCTATCAA